TTATATCTCCATCTTGCAATTATTGGTTTTTGGTCATGTTCATTTTTCACATTTGGCGAGCAGTGAATTACTTTAGATGTAAATTTCTGAAACTAAAATCTTCTTGGTGAAACACATGAACAAGAGATTTACATAGTCCAATGGAAGTTTTGGTGAATGTGTATCTCGCTCCATCGCAGTATTCTATACCCATTAGCAAGTTCTGCAACTCTTTATGGATAGTGTTTTAGTTATTAAATGCTCCAGGAAACGATGGAGCGGTTGTTCTCAGTTCCCGTAAAAGTTTTGACATGATGAATATTTGGCTTTCTAATACTCCGAAGAGTGGGTGCATAGAGTGTACTTGCCTAACATGATTAATACATAGTCAATAATACAGATAGCTTCCCTTCCAGGCTGATGTTGATGGAAATGGAACAATTGATTACCTTGAGTTCATAACAGCTACAATGCACATGAATCGCATGGAAAGAGAAGATCACTTGTACAAAGCATTTGAGTATTTTGACAAGGATAAGAGCGGGTGAAAAGCTATCTACCTGCTCCTCTACGTTGAATTTAAACATTTTACTGCTTTCTAATCTCGGTTCCTTTAGGTATATTACGATGGATGAATTGGAGCACGCCCTGAAGAAATACAACATTTCTGATGAAAAAACAATAAAAGAGATCATTGCTGAAGTTGACACAGACAATGTACGGGTTCCTTTCATTTCTGAATATTTATACGATATTCCTATTCAACTTATAACTTTTTTTCCAATGTGAGAGTTTCTTTTGGTAACTTAGGAGAGTTTTATTAGAGTAGTTTGATCACATGGTACGGAATCTGCATGTGACATCTCTGTGGCTTAGGAGTTGAATCTTTGTTTTTTTAAATCTCTTTATAAGTAGGTCTCTCTCAATGAAGTAAGTTTTTTGGAAGGCACTCATTAAACATTGGTTTTAGCGAAAAGAAGTGTTGGCAGGACGTAATTCTTTCTAGTGCTTTTTATCATTTTGTTACAGATTTTGTCAATCATGACTTAGTTGAATTGAACCAATATAAACTTGATACGACTTCAATAGTTGAATTGAACCAATATAAACTTGATACGACTTCAATAGTTCATGGTATGTAGATATATGTCTTGATCCTTATTAAAAAATATATGCTGTCTTTTGATATTTTCTTAAATATAAGAAATAGAATTTGTTCTTTTAATAAGAAAGCTGCATACGGAAAAAAGAAGAAGATGATTTTACGAGTGAGTTGTGGTTATGTATAATGATGTTTCTTGGACTGACATTGATAAATATTACTATCCAATTGCAGGATGGAAGAATCAATTATGATGAGTTTGCTGCCATGATGAGGAAAGGTAATCTGGATTTTGTCAACAATAGACGTCGCAGATGAAACCCACGAAACTCATAAAGCAAACCATTTGATTAGCACTGCTACTCCAGTGAGTTTCAAGAACTTAAAGATCCAATTGGTTCCCTGTAACAATCTGGGAGTGTGAGAGCTGTGGCTCTTGGCTTTTTGGTCAATTTCCTGTAGAGTTCGTGTTAAGTTGAGCTTCTGGTTAGGTGTATGATGTTCCATTGAATACAGATGTGAGCGACTAAAATCTGAACACGAAAATATGCTTGGTACATAGTATACAATTGATAATACTGATGTACTTTGGTTCATACTTCAGCCTCTTGAAACTAATGAAGAGAAGTCCCTTTCTCCTCCTTTTGTGTGTTTTTCATCAGTCACCAGAATATGCCTTCACAGGAATTATAAGTTTGTGTACTTGTTTGGAAACAAGCCATATTCTTAGAGCAATGTATTTGTTGTCCCACATTTGGTAAGAATAGTTTTTCTCCAATTATGGGTAAACGGGCCAAGGTTGGGGCAGGATTGCGGTAATGACATCAGTAGCCACTTTAAGGGGCTGCCATTTAAGAGTTAGCCAACTGTGTTGTCTTGAAGTTAAGATTTCTGGTTTAAATTTTTTTGGCAAATTAAGTACTGGCTAATTTCTAAATAGCATCCGTGAAAATAGCTACATGTGCACTCACCCCNAAGTGCATGGATAGCTGATTTTGGGATCCATATTGATCCATGGCCAAGTTTATAAATTTTTGTAAGTCTAGCCACTTCGAAAATAACTTCAGACATGGAATTAAACTTGCAAAAATCTGCATTTGAAGTTACAGATTTTGTTTGAAGCTTGGCATATTTATTGTGCTAGTAAACTTCCGACGTATGTGTCCGAAGTTTGGCAAGGAAAATTAGAGGACAAATCTAAGCTAGCGTTTGGATATAGATTTGGTTGAAACTTGAAAAAAGAATTTTTGAAGTTGTGTTGAAAAATAGTTTTTGAAAGTTGAAGTTGTATTTGGACATGCATTTTATTTGAAAAAAAAGTTAGAACTTCACAATTCTTATTGTCATACTCTGACCTCCATGAATTTAAAGAAAATTCAAATTTTAAAGTAGCCACCACTTGTAACACTTAGGTAAATGTGTTAACGTAAGGCTTTAATATATATATATATATATATATATATATATATATATTGTCATAAACACTTTAGACAACAACAACAACAACCCAGTGAAATCCCACTAGCGGGGTCTGGGGAGGGTAGTGTGTACGCAGACCTTACCCCTATCCCGAAAGAGGAGAGAGACTGTTTCCGAAAGACCCTCGGCTCAAGAAGACAAAAAGACAAAAAAAGACAATATTAGTAACACCACATAAATAATATAAAAAATATATATATGAAAAATAAGAACATGAAATCAAGAAGAATAATACAAAGCAAAAGCAAAAAAGTATCCCTACCAAACTAGTCTCACAAAGTTATGGCATAAGACAAGTCCCAATTACTTCCTAACCTACAACCCTAATATTCGACCTCCACATGTTCCTATCAAGAGTCATGTCCTCGGAAATCTGAAGTATCGCCATATCCTGCCTAATCACCTCCCCGATACTTTAGACACATATCAACAAAAACAGTGGTGATACTAATAATGACAGCAAAAACAATATTATGAATCAAAAATTTATTTTACTTTGTAGTGTAACGAGTGATTTGACAATAATTCTTTGGGTTTTATTTATTACCTCCAGAGGCAAAGCAAAATAGTAATATATTTTGGAAAAGTAATAATCAAATGTTGGCAAAATTCTAAAGTGAAAAACAATCTGTCAGAAGTGGGATTTGAACCCACGCCCTCTCACGAAGACCAGAACTTGAGTCTGGCGCCTTAGACCACTCGGCCATCCTGACAACCTATGATAGACTTGCTCCCAAGAATATAATTTGTATCTTTGACTCTTCGCATCATAAATACGGTCAACCCTCTCCATAACAGCTTCGTTTGATCCGATATTTTTTGGCTTTTATAATGAATGACTGTTAAACACCTATAATAGCATTTGACGTTTAAATATTTTTTGGCTGTTATAGATAAAAATTATTCAAAAATTAATTATTTTTTCCTTTTTAATGTTACATATAAAAGATAGGAAAATTATTCAAATTTAAAATCTCAATAGATATACATATTTCATTAGTTAAATATTGAATAAAGCTAATACATTATTAATAAATTCATAACTAAAAGTATAAAGATTTAAACTCTGAGGCATACATTTTAAAGCTACCTAAAAAAATAATTTTTTTCAAGATTGATGGAAGAACTTTGTAATTGTAACTTATTTCGTAGATTTCATTCTCTTACTAGCGATATAACACTTGAATTGGCGAAGATTCCTGTCCAAATTTTTAGCAAAAAGGTATCCAATAGATTTTCCTTGAAGACAATATAAGAGCTTAACAGTTAACTTTTCTATCTAAATATTTTTTGGAATTTGTCCAATGGAAAAGATATCATGTGCAAATCTTCAAATATTATATCTTATGCGAGATAGAAACTTTGTTTAGTGAAAAAGATTGTGTGCATGTTTTTAGAATTATTATTAGTAATCTTAAAGATTTTGTATAGCTGTTATAGAAGGGTTATTTAACAAAGAGCATTGTGCTATAAATATAGTTGTTGCTGTTATAGGTAAAAAGCTTTTATATAGAGATAAATTATAACTTAAAAATTCGGTTCTAAGGAAAACTTGACTTTTATAGTGAATGATTGTTATATAAGGATGTTGTTATAGAAAGGTCTGACTGTATAACTCAATTGCTTCGAATATTACCCTGTATTGTCTGAAGGGGGATGTAGTAAGAGCGTAGGTGAGTGATACGCATAGGAGGCATGCTCGAAAAGCAGCAATAATAGTATGGTTCCTGATACCATCACTAGATTGCGACCACAGTGACGAATACTTCTAGCCTATTTGACCAAGCTTTTTTGTGGACCAAAAGTGCTTTTTTTGGCCAAAAGCACTTTTGGTCAAAAATTGAGGTGTTTGGCCAAGCTTTTGGGAGGAAAAGTAGTTTTTGAGAAGCAGAAAAAGTAGCTTCTCTTCAAAAGCACTTTTCTGAGAAGTACTTTTGAGAAAAATACACTTAAAATCAGTTTTCAAAAGCTTGGCCAAACACTAATTACTGCTCAAAAGTGCTTTTCAAATTAATAAGCCAAACACAAACTGTTTTTCGCCAAAAGCATTTCTTTAAAAAGTACTTTTGAGAAAAACACTTTTCAAAATAAGTTGATTTTAGAAGCTTGGCCAAACATGCTACTGCTTTATATGAGGTGGAGAGAAAGACGATTTTTTCTTTATGCGGTCAACCAAATACTATATTAACCGATTTTACGCTAAATTTAATTATTTCAAACCATCAACCAAACACCCCCTTATTGTACTAAATTTCAAAATAATATAGAATAGTATTCCTATTTCTCTTCATTTCTGTGAAATTATTCCTCTAATAAGGCAGCTGATAAATTATCAAGGAATTATTTCTGTAAATTACATAATGGTTTTCTTACTCATTTTAAAGGCTCTTACAAAAGGTTAATATAGTTCTTGGTGAAAATGTTAGCAAGTCAAACGAAATATGCAAAGACTAGAACTAAGCAACGTTTATTGATATTAATAATTGCCACTAAATTGAGACAACTGCGTGGGATACATAGGATGAGGCAAATACAGCCCCCTTATTGCTATCTAGAAAAAAGAAAAAAGTGGAGATGACGACGACGACAACAACAACCACCGCCTCAATCCCAAACAAGTTGAGGTCAGCGATATGAATCCTCAGTTCTTTCATATCGGGGAGGAAGGGCTAATCGGATGAGGTGAAAGAAGCTGAAGTTTGATCATGTTGAGTCCCATAACCTGCAAAAATCGAAAGCAAACTTAGGTGCCTTAGTTTGAAAATAGTCCCTATCAACTATTATGTATAGTCAAACATCTCTATAATATCGTCGTTTGTCTCGACATTTCTTGGCTGCTATAGAAAATGTTGTTATAAAGGATAACATGAAAAATCGTTCCAAAAAGGACTTGTCGGCTACAATGAAATGTTGTTACAGAAAAGTTTAGTTGTATACATTATATTCTAATATGTATCTATAACCAGTTAGTATTCGGGCTTTTTTCACTTTTAGCCCGCAAAGAAACTATTTATATTTGGTAGCCGAAAAAATGTATAATTTTTGTATATAACATTTAAGTTGCTCGGACACGTGTGCGAGTGTTCGACACAGGTGCGGATCTAAAGATGGGATCTTTCGAGATGAAAATTCTAAGATTCAGGGATACAGATCCTAGTACGGATAGGGGTGCGGGGGTCCTACTAAAAATAATTTAAAAAATAAAAATATAAAAATATCTCTAAATTATGAGAAATTTTGTGGAATACTTACGTATAGCTTGTAAAGTGTGAATTTTTTTTATTCTCAAGTTGTAGATAAGCAAAAGATTGATTTTCTAGATAAGATATGTTGTTTTCTTCAAATTTACACTAGTTTTGGTTTTGATTTCGAGAATCAAATCGTATCTCATCTCAAATTTTTCCTTCCGTCGTGGTCAAAATACCCAAAATTGTTTGACCAGATCTGGTACGGATCCCATACCCACACTCATACTAGTGTCGTGTCGGCACGGATGCAGCACCTAAACTGCCATGTCGGAGCAACTTAGTATAACATACAGAATGTATATATATATACAAAAAATATACATTTTCCGGCTATTAGTTTGAGAGCAACTATACAGTGTTATTTTCCCTTAGTATTCTCTCCGCTATTCTATGGTCCAAGAAATGCAAATAGACACAAAGAAGAAGTAAAAGAACATTACCTCCTTATAGCTCATCCTTCATTGAATCTGTTTGTGCATGTTCTGATACTGTTAGATCAGATTTTGCAAAGTCTGAGGGGGCAGGGGTATCCCTATTAGTCTGGATAAATTCAATAACAGCCTCTTTTGTTCTATTCCCCTCGAATCGCGACAAACTACCGGCTGTAGATATCATGTATAATGTTGGGAATCCTTGAACTTCGAATCGTTCACGAGGTATATCATTTTCTGTTCCATCCTAAGGTAAATTGCATGGAAAGTAAGAAGAGTAATCTTACAAAAATGCGGAAAAAAAGAAGAAGAAACGAATAGAGAAGATAGTCATGGGATCAAGAGATTCTTACAATCTTAGCAATTAGGACATCAGCGTCGTTTTCAAATGAGAGCGCGATTTCATCCAAGACGGGAGCAAATTCCTCGCAGTATTTACAACCAAGACGATAGAACTCTAGCAATACTGCAAGAAACAAGAACAAAATGATAGGCTGCAGTAAAATCCCCGCACTCACTCACTAATGCTCCCCTTCGCTCCCTCGAAAAAATAATTAATACTCCCTCTGGCCCAATTTATGTGACACTCTTTCCTTTTCAGTCAGTTCGAAAAAGAATGACACATTTCTATATTTAGTAACAATTTAACTTCAAAATGCCTAATTTACCCTAATGATTTATAGTCGCACAAATATCTATGGCTCATTTTAGACCACAAGTTGCAAAAGTCTTTCTTTCTTTCTTAAACGTCGTGCCCAGTCAAGATAGAAAAGTATAACTAAGTTCGATATATAACTATTTTTGCATTTATTGTTCAAAGAATGATGCATTAGTTGATACGAACCATCTTTCCCTGAGTTGAAAACCATATCCTCTAGAGTCTCAGCAACCACAACCTTGACAGGTTCATTATTAACTTCCGGAATAGGCTGCGATTTCAAGTATGGTTTCAACTTGCCATCCTGTAGTCATACAAGAAAAGATTGAAACATAATTGGAGAAAGAAAAAAAGATTTTGAAAGACAAATAAGTCCTCATGTTCGTGCGTAGAAACGAGTAAGATACTTGAGTCTGGATTGCGTTAGCAACATAGTAAATACTAGGAAATCATAGAATCAGGTTCAAGTCATTACCTTAAAATCCTTCAACCAAGCTGCAAGGCTATCAGGTTGTACATGTCGTTGAACGTATTTTGTACCGTCCATGGCAAGTACGAAAATCAAAGGTACTTGATCAGTGTTCAATCCAAAATACTGCAATCGAACGAATAAATATTCAACTCACTTTTCTCTCCCATTAGGAAACATTATAAAGTATTTTACGCCGATTGGATTGAAAGGAGGATGAAAATGACCTCAAGGGCTCTTTTACCGGTCTCAGCATCTCCTAAGAGGAAGTTCGCTTCCTTTCCTTTGTAACTGGCGGCAAGATCATAGTATTTGGACTTGAAATGATCAAGATCCGTAGTGAAGTTCAGAAATAAAAATACCTACAAATTCCAAATATCGATTGAAAATCTCCAGAGGATATTCTTATACACACTCTTTTTTTACTTTGCGTTTCAATAAATTATTTTTAGGAAGGTCGAGTACCTTATCCCCGGGACTATGCAAAAAGTGGTTAACAAATGCCTGGTTTTCCGGCTTGTCATCGAGAATAGCCATGATTGGAACGCTAGTTTCTTCAATGAAATTCTGCATCGCCTCAACTTGAAAATCCTGGGATAATATTATGTATATACAAGTACACTGTTAGTGAAACCGTTCAAAGCAACACAATCAAAAAAGGGAAAAGAGTTCTGTCAAATTGATATATAGAATCAAACTCAAGAAATCACAATACCTCGAAATCAGCATAGAGTTCATCAAATGGCTTAAATAGACGAATAGTTGGCTTATCAACCGGCCCACCACGAGGGAGGAATTTTGCATCAAGTGTGTGAACAAAGTCGTAATCTACTCGTAAATCTTCAGCTAAAACTGTGAAGTTCATTATCTTCTCTAAGCAGAGTTCTGGAAATATGCCAACCTAAAATAACAACATGGCGCGGTATTTTTTACCCACAAGCTAGTAATGAGACAAATGAACATAACCTGTATAAAGAGAATGCCAATACTTACAACAACAATTTTTTTCTCATCGATAAGGCTTGCAGCATCTTCCTTTGATTTGATTTCAAGAGATGCAGGGCCGGCATGTTTCTTCAAATATGAGATTATACCGTCTGTCTCACGAGTACCTTTATAATCATGAACTGTCTTGCCACCATTCCGGAATATCTTAATGCTCGGAACACCATTATGAGTGTAATTTCTTGCGAGTTCTGCATTTTCCGGAACTGTTGTGTCCATTTTAGCAAGAATAACTGGAGGATCATGACTACTCAACACTGAAGCTGCTTCTTCGTACTGCCACGATAGAAAAATAAATACAAAATAATAAAAATAATATGTTACTCCCTCTGTCTCAATTTATGAGGCACTATCCGGTTTCGAGAGTCAGAACTTCTTAATTTTGACTGTGTATTCGGACAAAGAATCTCTAAGTTTTTTTGAAATAAGATTTAATTATTTGGAAACTACGTCAATAGTACTATAACTCATAGTAGTAATTAGTAATTCAAAATATTTTAAAAGGCATAAGAAAAGATCACAGTCAAGGAAAAATTCGTTTGACTCTCAAAATCCAAACAATGCTACATAAATTGGGAAGGAGGGAGTATATAGAAAATATTGATAAAGCCAAATAAGTCATTCTAAATAGTAAATTAGTACCTTAGGGGCAAGTTGCTGGCAATAACCACACCTATTACAGAGAAGACAGAGACAATTAGGTCTAAATTTTTAATAAGAGTGTATATTCACAAGATAGCTATTCAACTACTGAAATTTAAACCAATGAACTTTCCTTATTCATCCTACTAGTGTTTGACTGAAAACATAATCTTTGAATGTAAGATCCATTTATAGGACATCAAACTGAAAATGAAAGGAAAGCATTTTTAGCATCTGTTTTTAAGATAAAAAACTTTTAGGATAGCAAAATCTTCAGCAATGCAGCTATTAGGATATCCATTAGATATAACTACACGCCTAGAAGTATGTTTTGGCGTAATTGGTAAAGTTATTGTCATATGACCAAGAGGTTACAGGTTCAAGCCGTGGAAACAACCTCTTGCAGAAATGCAGGGTAAAGTTGCGTAGAATAGACCCTTGTGGTCCGGCCTTCCCTGGATCTCGCGCATAACGGGAGCTTAGTGCACCGAGCTACCCTGGGATAACTACATGCCTAATACTACCTATACCTGTATGCTTTCCCAATAGTCAAACCAAATGATCATAGCACAGGAAGAGCGCCAGGATTTGAAGCTAATGGGTTCGAGATTCTAGTCTTTTTAAAATACTTAAGTATTTCTTTAGACAAATACACTGGCATGCTAGCTCCGCTCCTGAACACATGTACCGGATAACTTTGTCCACCAAAGGTTAGCAAAACGGAAAGAATACACATTTTGGTTTTTCCCTTCACTAAGATTTGAACTTGAAACCTCATAGTTCTCCTCCCATTTCATTGGCCAATCGGTCATACCCATTCTTGTAGAGTTTTTAAATATTTTATATGTAAAACAGATGAGTAAATCTAAATTGATTTTGACTCCACAATAGGCTGCATAAGACAAATAGGACTGTGTGGTCTGTGCACTAAGAGTGAAAAGTGTGTGTGTTTGTTTGTGAGAGTAAACTACTTCAGTAACCATCCCAGTCTATCCATGAACCTTGACCAACAAAGGCGATTTGAAGTTATGAGTCCTGAATTTGCCATCGAACCTAGAGGCCAACCTATATATGTGTATATCTTGAAATGGTTAATTTAAACTTAGCACTCGGAACGCTTAAATCCTTTAGGGGTACTGGTTGAGCAGAATATTATGCCCGGTCGCATTAAAATCCTGAGTCCACCTCTGATAGAAGCTATAGCTCATTTTAGTTATCGCGTTCGAGATTAAATATTCATACATATTTAATGAATTTATTAATACAATACTCTAGCTCCTCTCCTGTTGACCAACCTGACCATTCCACTTTTCTCAAAAATTACGGATTCGGATGAACCTGTAACTTTTGCTTAACCCCTACATTTGTATTAGAAAGTTTACTAAATATGTATAAATATCTAACTGCGAACCCAGTAACTATGCCGAGCTATGGGGTTTGGCCACAAGTTCAGAACCCATAAACTTCAAATCTTATATCTTATTTTACAAATCAAGAAACTTAAACTATTCAAAGATCAAAAGGAAAGAAACCAAATAAAAAAGAAAGAAAGAAAAATTACCATGGGGCATAGAACTCAACAACAATCATCTTGTGTTGAGAAATAATATCAGAATAATTAGTATAGTCCAAAGTCCAAACAAATTCCTGCTCCAACTTCTGCTCCTCTGCCACTACCTTTTGTCCCTCATTTTCTACTGGATCAGCAGAAACACCTGCAACAATGGCTAGTACTGCAAAAATGGCTAAAAGGGTACTGAAAACTTTACAACTTTTAGCCATTCTTGATGACTATGTATCTATCACTGTCTATTTTCACTATTAATACTCTGTATTATTGGTAGGAAAAATAGTAATTCAAGATGGGACAAGTTAGCTTATCTTTACAGCACTATATATATAGTATTATATATAGTGGGAGAAGAAAAGTGCCACGTCAATATTGATGCTTATGTGTAAGAAAATGATTGGACATAATATGTGTCTGAATAGGCGTGAATGGTGTCCAAAAAAATTATAAATGTTGGTTGACACATTAAAGTATAACTTAAAATATTATAACAAGTTATATACATTGTCCATGTAAGCAAAGGCGGACCTATGTGTAATCATGAGAGGTCCGCAGACCCCATTAGCTTAGGCAGAAATCTTATATATGACTATGTATACACCTTGAAAATGGTTAATTTAAAGCACTTGGTACCCTAAACACGAAAAATCTTTTAAGGGGAGTCGGTTGAGCAGAATATTGTGCCCCTGTCACGTAAAAATCCTGGATCCGCCTTTGTGTAAGTTATATACACTCAGGCGTAAACGGTCACCGATATTATAAAAAGATATACCAATATGAGTTGGATCACTTAGCCATGCTTCCTAATTACAAAAACGAGTATCTAAAAATACATGCGCTCACGCAAAGGAAGATGATGGAGAGTTGATCGAAATGTGCACTAAAAACTTTTCGAGATATCTCCTTCAAATCACTGGTATGAATATCGAAATCGTAAGCATCAACATGTAGGTTCCAAATCCAAGTGGTAGTAGTATAAGACCCTTTAGTTATTGTTCTTGAGAAATGACTCGGTCTGGCCTATTCGAGTTTATACACATCGATAATATGAGAAAAAATTTAAGAGGTTTATAATTTTGAAAACAACATATAAAAATAACTTGATTGTGTAAATATTTTTTAATTGACTAAATTTAATTTGTTTTTTTTTTCTTTTTGGTGGAAAAGATAATTATATTAATATTAATATAATAGTAGAAACTAGTACTAGTTATAACTTGTTTCTTCAGAATTATAGAGAAAAGAAAAAAGGGCAAATAACTTTAAAACAACTTGGAATTATGGCAAAACTCGAGATTCACGATACATATTGATAATACATTTTTGGTACTAAACAAATAATTGAAGATTCTTTTGACTTCGAAAAAAACTCGAGATTCACGATACAAGTTGATATTATATTTTTTATACTTATTAAACAAATAAGTGAAGGTTCTTTGAACTTTGAAAATGTTTAATTTAATTTAAGTACATGTTACGTCTTAATTTTAGTAGTGCACATAAATAAATGGCGGAACAGTCACATAAATGCTCGTACTTGTACCGATTTATTATTTCAAAAATACAAATAACAAATCGAAACATGCTCAAAAACACTATTTTAATTATCGAAAATATTTGATTGAATAAACTCATTTACTCCGATATGAATGGAGAGTCAACTCCAACACTTTCATGTAGCTAAAATATTGAAACCAAATTTTAAAATAAATTTTAAAAAAAAAGATAGAGGAAAAATTGGATTGAGAAGAATAAAAGTGGATCTCATAGTCAGGGGCGGATGCAGCGTATAACTTACGGGTTCAACTGAACCCATAACTTTCGACGCGGAGTAAAAATTTGTATGTAAAAATTCATTAAAATTGCAAAAATAGTAAATATGAACCCATAAATTTAAAAATACAATGGGTTCAATGTTAAAAGCCCTTAAAATTAAACTCATAAGATTTAAATCTTGAATCCGCCTCTGCATAGTAGTAGATTCCTTTTGAAGAGAGTAGTTATTTATTTTGGTCTAGACCCAAATGAAAAGGAAAATGTTCCATTTGAGATAATAGTATAATGTTTATTACTGATAAAATATGTTAAAATATAATTAAAAGATGTGAAAATAGTATAAAAATACTATATATAAAATTCAAAGTGATATTTTGGCAATTGAATAGACCTTGAGTCGCCACTAAAAGATTATCCAAGAAACGATTCTAAGATTCCTCTTATAAAAGATTTACATAAACTAATTATTCGAGGATTATAATTTAAGAATTATTTATGCGAGAAATAATAATGAAAGTAATTATTATGCAGTGATTAATAATGAAAACTCGTTATACAACTTACTTTAAAAATGCATTCTTATCTTTAAACAGATCTTCAAATTATGAATATGTCTATTTTTATTTTTATTTCAGACTGTATCCCGCATAATATAATAAATAAACTCTCGCGCAACTTAATGTAGATATCATTTCACACTGCCAATCAAACACTCAGCGACGGACGCATGTGGTGGCAAGCGGGTTCAATTGAGCCCGCTTCATCAAAAAATAATATTGTGTATATGTTTAAATTACGATTAAAGTTGCGTAAATTTTGTATAAATATTTTATTTGAACCCACTTGACAACTACTATTTTACGACTAAAATTATGTACTTTTAAAATTAAACTCGCTTGCACAAAATTCTGGGTCCGCCACTGCAAACACTTAATTTGTTCTGTGGCAAGTGACAACTAATTTTTTCTTATAAGGATAATTTTGAATTTACATATATGATGTTTTTAAATTTGAATTAAAATAAAAAAAACTATCTTTTGTTACCATATTATCATACTTAATTCGGTTAGTGATCATATGCAACTATATTATGAACTTTTGTTATCTTAATTCAAATTATGTAAATACTACTTCACCTCTAGCAAAAAAAATATAAAAAATACTTCATATAACTATAAACTCTTTTACATTTAAAATCCTATAATTATAGTTCTTTAAAACACTATAGCTAGATTTGAATAAAACGAATTTTTTTTAAAATAAATGTAATAGGGTACACATCTATGTTTATCCAAATAACAAAAAAAAAGTTTAAAAGTTGATAAAAATTTACTTACATATATAATAAAGTAAACCTACATGCTGGAGAAAGAAACATTACAAAAATCAGTCAATATTCAACACAAGTTGTTGTTTTTTCTTTTTGAAAAATGTTTGTTTGAAGAGTCAATTTATATAAATGGACATCAAACGAATAACAAAACTTTGGCTATATAATTGATTAATTTCTATTTAACACCTTCTAGGAATTGAAGGGTATAAGACGAAACCTCTTCATTTAGCTGCAGTCAAACCAACATTGCAAGGGTATAGTATTTTTTTTTATTGAAAATATTAGTTTTGAATCATTAGATTATGTGAAATATTTTTTTCTCGAATTCAAAAAGAGTGATATTGGTTTATAATTGATAGTTTCTATAGCGATTTTCAAGTGTAACAAAAAGTATATTTAAATTAAATTTGGTATGACGTGAAATAGTTATTTTTAAAATGTCGAAATGGGATTATTTTTTATATTATAATGTAATTTTTAAAATAAAAGATAAGATATTTTTAAATTTTTGTAGAGAGTTTTTTAAATAATTATAATAGAAGTCATATCATGGATAAAATCATGAAACCGAAATCTTATGGATTATTACATAAATATTCGGCCAGATTTATTATTTACTTTTTATAGCTAATATACATAGATGGTATATCTATTACACACGATTATACACATATTACATATGAATTATATATAAATTACACATCCTCAATTTTTTAATTAAGTGGTTAGGTGAGCTCCTGTTTAGGTTGATAAGATAACGCCAAAAGAAAAATATGACAGAATTTCAACCAAAGACTAAAAATATAAATAAAGTTCTTATGTAAACAATTTCTATTAAAACTCATCCTTTTATTACGAAATAAATTAATTTTATGTATCAAAAGAAAGAAAAACATAAAAAATAAGATAAAAGAAAATAAATATAGAAAAAAATGTATGAAAAATCTAAAAATCAGAAATAAGAGACGACAACAAATTTCTTTTTCTATTTCATCTTTGTTGAGTATAAAAAATTTGGAAGACGATCTCATCGATTTCAAATATTTTTTTCAACTCAAATACGTAGATCATAAGATAAGAATATCTTAGAATATTTTTTATATTTACATTGTGTGTCATTTTTTAAAAAATCACTATACTAACAAACTGATATGATATTCGAATTTGAATTTAATTATAATCTAAGTAGTTTGCATTGAGGTTAAGCCAAGCATGGTGTCGAGAAAAAACTGCTTGAGAATTTTAAGACAATATATGCAATGTTATATAATAACAATCAATTAATCTAACATTTAATGATTCAAAGAACAAAAAATCTGTATATGTATAGGTTATTCAAAATTTAAAATTTGTGGCTAGTGATATCGATAAACTCAAAATGAAGTCATACTGAAATAAAATTTCACTGGCCAAAGAATTATTTAAATTTTTAGATAGCCGATAAAGTGAATTTTAAATTAAGGATAATATCTTCACTTGCATCATTATAAAAATAATCATTATTGAAATATATATAATGTTGTAGAAATTGAAATTTTAAAATAGAAATATTTTTTAAAACATAATAGTATACTAAATAAGAATTCAAGCCGTAGTAAAAGAGTCACGTCATAACCAAAGAATCATTCGTATTATGCCAACCTTTGTAATTTTCAGAGCTCATAAATACGAGTTATTATTTCGGTTTGTGACTATTTTTAGGTTCCAATGACACCAATAAGAATGGTGCAAAAATAAAATTATCACTACGAGATTTGAGAAAATGTTAGCCTTTTTTTATGTGTTTCATAAACAATATCTAATGATTATCTATAATTACCTAGAAGGTTTAAATTTTAAGGTCATTTACATATAATTCAAATAACTCACATATTTAACATGGTTAATGTCAAATATCAAAATGGAGTACTTCATACTAGAAAGAAAATCACTGGCTAAAGAATTTTTTAAATTTTAAATAGCCGACTAAAATGAGTTTTGAATTAAGGATAATACTTTCACTTACATTGTTATAAAAATAATTATTATTAAAAAATAAAGTTTTAGAAACTGAAAATTGAAGATAGAAATAATTTTAGAATATATCAACACACCAATAGAGTTCAAGCAGTAGTAAAAGAGTCAAGTCGTATCCAAAGAGTCCTTCATAGTCTCAACCTTTGATTGGTTTGCCATTAATATGAGTTATTATT